TCTCATGTTATACTAATGCCTTCCAATAAAATGAGAAATGCTACATGTTCTCCAAGAACCTGTCTGGACCTCTTCCCTCTGTACCCACTTTCTGGACCAATCAGTGAGCCTTCAATTAGATCACTAAGGCTTCCATTGCATTTTATTGCTGAAGGAAAAATGGATTAGGTGAATGGGAAGGAAATAGGTATCATTATAAGATCTTTCTGAAAGGTTAGGATCAGAGCCGAAAGATCAAATCAGTTGATATAAAAATTTAATTATTTTGTGTCAGGCACTGTGCTAAACTATGGGGATAGATGACCAAGGCAAATGGTCTGCCATCGAGGAGTTTACTATTTAGTGTGGGAGGCTAATGATGTTTGAAAAGTATAACCAATTTAGTTTTAATTCTATCAAATCAAGATTTTCAAGAGAAAGTAATAAGATCCTCTACTGGTCAGGATAGGCTTATGTGACAACATAAACTTGAAATCTCAGTGGTTTAATGCAATAAATGTTTATGTGTTGCTCATGCAAATTCACAACAGATCGTACTGGAGGTGAAGGGCTCTGCTCCATACAGTTACTCAGAGACCCAGACTGCACCATCATGAATACATAGTCTCAAAGGTTGGCATGGAAAGGGAATAAAAAACATAGGGCTCTTTCATGTATTGTCTCAGAAGTGATACATGCTGCTTTTGTTTAAAACCTCTAGTCAGAACTAGCCACATGAATGTATCTCATATAAGGAGCTGAACTTTCTATAAGCAAAAAAAGTCTTTGGCTAAAAATCTCAGTCATTTCTGACAAGAGTTGGGGTAGAGGATGTAGAACATCATCATCTGGGAAATCTCTCCACAGGTTAGCAAAATGTTGATCTGAGATATAGCATCTAAAGGAAAACCAAACTAAAACACCAGTAGGTAGAGGCATAGACTAGGCTAAAAGTCAGAATCTTGGGAAGGAATGACCAAAGAAGAATAGGAATAAAATATAGACAAAGAGCAAGCAGTAGATTCTTGAATCCCTGAGGCATAGCCCAGGAGCCATTAGTAATTCTTTCATGGAATTATGTGTAGAGTGGTTTATTAAGAGAAATGAGCCAGGATAGACACTTCACTTCTAACTTTTAAGTTTATATGCTTCTGTGAATACTGGACAGCTGTGCCTGCAGTTGCTTTCCTTTATTTGGAAAAAAGGAGAAAAAAAAATCAACAGTTTTTAGAGAGTTAACTTCAACTTCCATTCATCTGGAGTTTGGAAGGGAGATGTAAATTAATCACCTCATCATGCTTTTAAATTGTTTCAGATCTGGTCCTGCAAAAGATTCTTTTGAGTATCATGAAATGGACACAGAGATGAACAACACAGAAAGGGGGTCGAGAAACTGAGAATAAGAACTAAAATGAGTGAGAAAAAAAGAAGTAAACTCTAAATATGTAAATTAGTAAAGCAAAATTAGCAAATTAGTGAAGCGTGTATAGAGTCAAAAGTAAAGGCTCTTAGATGCCATTCACTTATATATCACAATTTTGTATAAACATATCTATAAAAAAATCCTGGGCATATACTACACACTCAGTCACTTTTAATAGGTGTCATTTGACATAAGAAAAAAGTATTTCCCCAAGATACTATTTCTGGCACACCAAAAATGAGACATCTGAGCAGAAATCTTGGACAGCTTAGCTAAATGGAAAGTTGTATAAACTATTGAAGAACTTTATACTTGCTTGTTTATTTTTTAGCTTATTTACATATCCCAGATTTCAAAAGAAGTAATCATACTTGTGCTTCATTAGATTTAATTAAATGAATTATATACCATCTTATTCCCCAAAAGTGCTTGGAAAAATCTCATTTTCTCATTTATATGATCTACATGATTAATGGTTAGTTTAGTTTTGTACATGAAAAATCAATTTATGAGTGATTTCCAGAGCTTCTTAAGGCAGATGAAGAAATGGCTTTTGAACTTTTCAACAAGGAGACTGCCAATAGGAGAATGGACTGCCTCACAGAATAACAAGGTCCAATCATTTCAATAGTTAACATGCAGGCTCATTTAGCATTTGTCAGGGAGATTCCTGACAAATGATAATGCTAAGTAAGAATTTGTACTAAATTAACTTTTCATATATCTAATCTCTGAGCTACTATGCTTTTATGATTTCCCCATATTCATGTCTTTATGTATCAAGAGACTTAAGAGATCAAGCCCTACCAAGTCAGGGAAGTGGTATGAGATGAGAGAATCATCTTTATGTGGTGAAGAGTAAAATCTTGATGGACCATTGGGGAATGTGAAATATAAACTCTTTTGAATATTCAGAATCAGCTGCCATGTCTTCTTTATATCTGAGCAATAATAAAATAGCACTGGCCTTGGGCCATGGGGAGTTGATTAATGGAAACATAGTAAGTTTAGCCAAATGACTGGGTTCACCCACTGTTCACGTTATCCATTTTGGCTCTACAAGAGGGGGACTTAAGATCTTTGGCACCATGGACCGTAAATATCTGTCTTTAGCTCTGTTTCAATGCTTTCAGGAGATTCCTCGATTCCCATTTCAGAAAGACAAATAACAAAAATAAGCTGTTAAGTTCCATCTCCACTGAAGAAAATATTTGACATTTAAAGTACCTGAAAGTGGAACATAAAATACATTCCTGAAAGAAGAGTTGGGAGTCTGTTTAATCTGTTCTCAACAATATTTTAGGGCTCTTATCATCTGAATATTTCTTAGGAAATTGATTAATCATTCTGGAATGAGATGGTTTATATAAAATCCTAACATACCTGAAAACATACCACTGAACCAAGACAATTTTTTTTAGCATAAAGATTCTAGAAAATTAAGGTTAATTTAAATGTTCCTTTGTTTTAATATACACTTTTAGAAGACTTTCTGGAATCTCTCTAAACTACATTTGAAGTTGCCATAGTGATTGTCCCCATTTTTTTCACAGAGAAACCAAGGCATAAAAAGGCCAAGTACTCAGTGAAGTCATATAGATGATGAGAGGGAATCAGGATTTGAACACAGATCTGCACTCTGTCAGTTCATGAGATCACCTTTTGGCATTCCTTATCATGTTAGACAATTTTATTCAGTGACAAGCTGACAGAGAGGAGAAAGGCAAGTATAGAAAGCAAGTTTAATTTGGGGACTTAATAATGGTGCCAGTTGAATAAATCTCAGCACTACAAGAGTTAACATAAATTTATCAGTGTTAGAGTCTTCATTATACAATTTCTTCAGTATCAAAGATGTCAATGAAAAACCTAATATCTACTTGGAAAGGATTCTAGAATTGCTCATATGTGAACTCACAACAGCTTATCTTTCAGATTAAACAAGAATACAGAAAACAAATTGTGATAAAACAAAAACAAAAACATCTTTCCATCTCTCCAGTTAGGATGGTTTTGTTCAATTCACATATTTCCTTTTATTAAGTGCTCTTAAATCATGTACTTACTGATGTGTTTACTCAAGAAAATTTTTTTAGGAAAAATAAATAAAAATAAGATTTAAAAAATCACTCACAATTCGCTACCAGGAGATAAGCACTATTAACATTTCCGGTTTTACTCTCTCTCTCTCTCTCTCTATATATAAATATATGTTTATAAACTTTAATAACACATTAATATATAAATATATATATTTAATATATATTAAATACATATATACATATACAATAAAGTATCAAATATATTTCGACATGTGTAAAAAATTTCTTTAATACTATTTTGTGGTAGAATAATATTTCATCTTATTCCTAATAGTTAACACCATTGGACATGAATAAGTTCAAAGGGTATGGTTCCTTAAGGGGTTTGATGCATATTGCCAAATCATAACCCAAAATGGTCATGCCCCAAGAATAAGACAGTAAGCATCCTTGAGCATTCATCAAAACTGGATATTGTCAGAAAACATACCTAATTATATTTAAAAGGCAAAAAATATATCTCGATTCTTAACTATCCATTTCTTTGATTTTTAATGGGATGAAAATATTTTTTCATTTTATTGGCCTTCTGTTCCTTCTTTTATAACATTCTTTTGTGTCTTTTTCATCTGCAGTCATTGTTTTATTGTTGATTAGCAAGAGGTCCTCACATATTAAGAATACTAAATCTTTATTGTGCATTAGTTTTTACAAGTTTTTTATTTGCCTTTTCATTTTATGGTGTGTTAAGCCAAAATCTTTTAATTTTTATGTAAAGAAACAGATCAAGTCTTTTTTATGTGCTCTTTAACATATAAGAAATGTATTGTGGCATTTAATGTAAAATAGAAACCTAATTCTAATTTTTTTTAGGTGGTTAACTTGTCAAAAATCACTTATTAAATAATATATTATACTCACCACACTTACTGTATATCTAATATCTTTCTACACAAACACATACATATCAGCAAATATATTTATATCTATGTCTATATATTTATATCTATATTTCTGTGTCTGTACTTTCTATTTATGCCATTCATCTGTTTTTTCAGTGGCAATAACCACTGTTTAATGAATATGTTCTGATCTATTAAGACAAAGCTGGACCACCGTATTATTCTTATTTTTTTTTTCCGATTTTTTTGCCTAGTTATTTAAAAATACATTTTCTTAATTTTAGTTTTTGTGTTTTCATCTACAATTTCTGCCTTTTAAATAGACATAATATTCTATTAACAAGTATTCTTGGAATTAAGTATCTAGTCTTTTTTCATGGAAAAGGCTAGCAGTCAGGGCTGAGAAATCCAAATGCTATTGAATCCCTGTAGCAATGATAGTGACCAACATAGTGCTAACTCTGTATGCTGAAAATTCCAGAGTTAGATCAGAGCAAGAAGCAGGAAGTGAGGCAATGTGAGTGCTAGACTGTGAATTCATAGCCACACCCCAATTAATTTCTAGAATGTGCATGTGACATCTATTCATCCACATTTCTATCTTTATACTCTCCAAGACATGCCAAATAAAGTAATAACTCCAAAGGTGGTCTGTTTTAGAAAATTAATTAGAAAAGAGGGAAAAATTAAGTTTGCTTATGCATAAAATCAAAACTTGGAGGCTCTTCTGAGACTTGGCATAACAGGATGAAAGAAGCTAGTGTTCTGGGGTGTTTTGATTAATTGACTTGCTCTAACCACTCTTGTAATGAATCCTTCCCAGCATGGTGCAGTCATGAAATGTGCATCCTTCTTATTAACAGGGAAAGTATAATTTTTGAATCGTCTTTTGTTTTTTTCTTTTTTTCTTCCTTTTTTTTTTTTTTTTGGTGGAACAGATGAATCTATACTGATCCATTGACACTCTTTTATCCTGGAGGTTTCATGCCTAAGGTATGTAAAAGTCTGATTGGCTAAGATTAGATGTGCTGGCTGTGGCTGAGGAAAAGTGTAGAGTTACTTCGCATACACAGAGATTGTAGTCAGGGTTGTAGCTGTGTTTCACATTTTAATCAATTGCTGCTAATATCAAAGTGACCCTTGAGAGAGAGAGAGTATCTTGCCTGGTTGGCATTCTGGGTTGAAGAATTTCTCTCTCTCAACTTCATTGATTTATCGTGAGAGCATTCTAACTCAGTGCTACGCCAATTGCATTTTCTAGAGAAGAGAATCTATGGGGTATTATAAGTAATTTCTCCTTCCTCTACATCAAATTCTACCAATAAAAACCAGAATGAGCAAGTGAACATTCACATGTCTTTGTTTAATTCTATTAAAAATATTCCGAAAAACCTCCCTGGACATCTCTGATAAGTCCCTTTGCATACTCAAGAGCAGAGCATGATCTATTTAATAAGCTTTTACACTTATATCCAGAAGGTGGTCTTTGTTAATCTTGCTTTTAAGTTGGAAAGAGAGAAGAAAAGTTGACTCCTTGTGGATTTTACTCTAAAATTTAACCCTCAGGCAATCAAGGCTCTTTATTCACACTGAATCACCCTTTATAACTACTCCAAAATGCACTTTCAAAACAAAAGTTAGAAAGCTGTATGAGCCATTCTCAAGAAAGATCTGTTTCTGTTCAAAACCCACCCTGACCTTTTTGTTGAAGAAGAACAAAATAATGTAGTAACAAAAACACAAGTGGCTGCCAAGGGAAGAGAGAAAAAAAAAAAGTTCCTGTAAGAGACTGAAACAATAAATCTCCTCTCTGCTGAACTCCCAAAGGGAGCGTGTGTATTTCCTCCCGTTCTTTATCAGAACCCCCGAAATAAGTAGGAATGGGCAGTGACTGTTCCCATTCAGCACACCTTTTCCATTTGCTAATAAGGTCCTGCCAGACTGGAAGGGAGTTGTCCCTGTCTGACTCTGGAGTGAGAAGCCACTACAACGATCCTTGGGCACCATGAAACTTCTTCAAGTGACCATCCTTTGTCTTCTGTCCAGCCTTTGTAGCAGTAAAGGTACTGTTTTCTCTTATTCCTCTGGTGGTGTGGGCTAGCTCTCACTGGTACAAGGCTGTTAGCCTCAGTTTACCTTCAGAGAGTTTCCTCTGAAACTTAGAAGCAGCAATTCATTTGCCGAGCAGAGTGCATGGGTGTTGACTAGAAGTGCACAGAGAAGATGCCACAGAAAGGATGTTTGTTTGCACTGAAGGGAAGTGTTTGCTGGTGCGGCAAGCCTTGAAGTATAGTTGATGGCATCATAAAGGTACTGGTGATACACAATGACCTTTTTTAGAGAATAAAAATCTGGGGCTTAAATGCTCTTATAAAATGCGTTATTTTCAGTCATAAGTCTAAAAATAACAAGATCATCATATACGAGTGAAAGTCTGTAATTGGAAATATTGCACTGCAGATGCTGGCCTAAATTTGTCCCAATTATATGTGGGCTTTGATAAATTGAGAGGCTGAGTAAAGCTGCCTAGGTGACTGAATCTTAATATATTGGGGGTGGGGTGGGTAAAGAGGAGAGTCATTTGATTAAAGTTTATAGATGTTTGCTCCAGAAATATGCACATAGCTACATACAACATTTTGTATAACATTTCAGAGAATTATAGACATAAAACCCTACCCACTGACAGCAGGCTCTGAAACTCAGATAAAAGATAAGCCCTGACTATATTAATGACCAGTTGCAAGAAATGATTACATTTGATTTTTAACCCTTCCTAAGGAATTCACAGTAAGCAATTAAATTTAATCAATATTTATTAGGCTCCTACCAGGGTCTCAGAAGTGAAAGGAATACAAAAATGAGCAAGACATTGTCCTTGTCCACACTGGTAAATGTACTATTGAAAGAAATAAGCATGTAGTTCTAATACAAGACAGAATTAATAAATGCTAAAACCAAAGTACAAACTATCATAATATAACATAATTGGAAAAGATTGATTCTGACTCTGAGGAGCTCTGGAAAAAAATACTTCATTCTAATTTTATGTTGCTTGTGCTTTTTTCAAAAGTTTGCTTCCTACAAAATTCTAACTTCCAGTGATAATGCAGGGGGAAAAAAATACACTTCTTGAAAAAACATTTATCATTAATTTCTCAAATATATATGTAAATTTAGGACAGATTCCCAAACACTTCGAAATCACAGATGATTGCTTACCATGCATCTTGAAGCTTTCAAGGTTAAGTTGCTGTAGGTATCAAGGACATAAAATTTAACTTAGAAGAGTTTCTAAGAATCTGATTTTTTAAAATAAAGAATATTTATAAAGTATCAGAGAAATCAATGCACTAGCTTACAGGTAACTCTTTAGTATGCATGAGAAAAATTGATAGGAATTGCAATGCTATGAAAAACACTGCTCACGAACAGGTGTCAGGTCAATACAAATTCCGAAAGTCTGGGTTAGGCTGCTCGCCATTTCAGGTCTGCAAGAAACAGTGAGGACACGACTTTCCTGGCATATTGTTCAACTCTGAGTGGATTACATATCTTTCTGAAAGCAAAGTGGAATAGAACCAACAGAAGCTGCCTGTGAAACCTGGCCATAAGGAAGACAGAAAGGTAAAGGACGACCCAAAGAGAACCTGGCAGATTTTTTTTATGGTCATTTTGGGAAAATACCAGCCTTCTTTAGTTACTGGTAATGAGCCCAACCTCTCTGTTAATGATGTCTTCTTTCTACTGAACTATTAATCCAAGTAGGATAATTTCCCCTTCGAGCAGAGACAACAATTACAAAATGACTATCTTCTTCAACTTCTGCCAACAAGTCTATTCATTAACTTGAGGCAAGTGTCTGTAAAAACCATTCCATTTATCTCAGAAAAAGAAGCTCTAGCTTGGAAACATAAATTGACCAACTGAGTGGTGCCCAGAAGGAACTGGAAGAAATTTTCCCATCCACGTGTATGATTTCATTGCACCTGGCTCCGTCTGTTTTATGTTTTCCTTCCCAGATACAGTGCAGGAAATGAAGCATTTCCTAAGCTGATTTATTAATTCTTTCCCTTTTTTTTTATCCCCTGTACCGGAAACACATTGATTTCAAAGCTTTATATGTTCCTCAAACTTAGAATGCTTAACATATTTCATCAGCAAGATTAATTGGGGGTGGAGAGGGAGGCATTTCATGTCTTAAATCTATGAGTTGTCAAGAAGATCCATATATTTTTGCATAGCAATTTATTCCTAAATAATAATCTTTTAGAGAAACTAACTACTTTTCTTTTTCTTTTTGATGTTTTTAGTCAGTCTGAGATTTAAATACAACACAGTTTTTGGTGAAAATCAAGGGAATCTTTCTGTATGGCAATGAGTGGCTTTCTATTACTTGGTTGGTGATATAATATTTTACACTCTCCAATCTGAAAAACTGTTCTATTGAGATATGTAGGGGAGATTCCTAAAATGGAACTGCCATTCTTTCCAGTGGTTTTCTAAATTATATTTCAAACTAAATAGACCCCTACAGTGGCTTTTAAGCTTCCTTGGCTTTTAAGTCTAAATTAATGATCTTTTGACTGTTGGGACTGAGAAAAGTTAAATGAAAAGGGATTCCCAGAAAAAGGAGGCCCTGGAAGCAATTTACTCTTCCAGTGCCATTTGCTTTTTGAATTTTTTGTTAGTTTAGGAAAGATTAAAATGTTTTAGGTATTTGCAAACCAGAACAAACATAACTTTATTGGTATTTGAAGAATAATTTAATTGCTTGTAGAAATTTATTTGTTTGTAATTGAATATTCAATTTCATGGAAAAAATAGGTTGAACACACAGTAAGACAGACACTATGTGAAATACTGTATGTTTCTAGAGGTCAATAAGACTCAGCCCTTGCCTTACAAGTGAGGGACAGAGAAATTATAAGTTCAATTATATTATAGGCCTTAAGTGATAAATAAAGAATGATATGAAAATTCACAACTAGCTTAGTTTTGGGTATAGGGATATTAGAAAGTCTTTATATAAAAGTAGAAATTATGATAAACTCTGAAGCTTGAAGATGAAGAGGTTTCAGATGGGTATAATTTCCTAGGAACATTAAAACATCAGTTTATTCGAGTCTAGAAATGTAAGGAGGTCACAAGTTAGGCATAGATAGGTGTCAGGAAATAAGATTGGAAATATAGTCTCAGGATATGTTGAATACCAGGATGAGAAATATTGACTCATATAGTTAATTAGTTTAGAGCCTCTAAATGTGTTTGAGTATGGAATAACATGACTGGGGCTATAGATTGGGAAGATAATCTGTCATCATGATATAGATTAAACTATTGCAGCCAAAAAAGGTAAAGTTTAAAGAAAATAGTTCAAATGTTATTACAAGTCTGAAAGTCTGTCAATAAAATAAAAAGAAGTTATTGGGAAAGTGTTTTAAGGAAGTAGAAATTTTGTGATTTGCCATGTCGTTGATTGGCAATGAAGGAGAAAGTGACTGAGATATACACAGAGGGTGATTTTCATACTAGAAGTGGAAATGACT